GCAAATATTTCATAGGCGTCGGCAATGCGTCGTCGATTCTTTGATAATTCACACTGCGTGATTGTCACTCGCATGAACGAGCACCGATTTGCCTCCGATTTTGAGCATTTGTCGGGGATTTCGCAAAACCTGTCGGCGAGTGAAAAATCGGGCTAAAGTTGTGCAGTATGAACTCGGCATTAAGCAAATGCTTATCTCCATAATGGTGACTTCAAATTGTATTATTTTCAATAAACATTAACGTCTAAATCTCTGTTAATTCTTAATAAGAAATTTTTAGACGCATGACAAACAAAAATTCAAACTGGTTAGTAATGTGCGAATATATATATTTTTTTTTAATAATTTTAATAATTACAGTCTTGCTCGAGAACTACGGTCTGACGCACCCGGGTTCTCGCGTTATTTCCTTATCACTTCTCGCGTGTGTTTTGTTAACACCCTGTTAACTTGACTTGAGGTTAAACTAGGGACTAAAATGCATCTGGTAAAATAAACCAGTAGTTTAAAAGTTATTGAAAATAATTAATTACACTTTGTCCGCAGGGGCCGCTTGTGTACCTTAATCAGATACTTATATATATTAAAAATAGGCTGCACGAGCAGCAGTATTATATCCACAATTCTCTTTACATTCAGCCTATTGTCTTGCAGTGCCATTGATAGTCAGATGAGGGCATAGTATACCGCTCCCTCACCTAACAAACTGTGGCGGTGAATGAGGGAGATTATCGGAGTGAGCAAACTAACTGTTTACAGTCCAAATCGCCTTTACTGGAACATTGCTTCCTAATCTTCGCCGAACCCTGATTGGAACAAGACTTGAGAGGCAAGACAGAGAACCAGAGCCAACCAAGTCAGAGCTAAATGCACCGGTCTCCTTATAAGACAACACCCATCTTTCACAGCACCACTGCTATTTTAACACAGCCCCTTCAAACACTTTTGTGTGTAGAGATGGTGGGTTGCATAGCATTTTTTATTTGGTGTAATTTAGTCATCATAATCGTTTGAAAAACAATAAAAATATGTACTGCCAAAACAATAAAACTGCTTAAAATAAAACATATAAACTACAAATAATAAACTCAATGAAAAACAATACAGTAAAAACTTGTGATCACTGACGTTGTGTATTTATCTTTAACAATTACAGTGAAGTTTCTCATATTTTATATTAACAGCATATGCTCTCTTTCATTGATAATACCCCTCTCATCCCTGAAACCGACCACCTGTTGTACATTTCTGCCGCTCGCCCTAAGACCTGGAC